AAAAAAAAAAAAAAAAAAAAAATCATTTGGGAAACTAAAACAATCTAAGCTGCTGCTGTTGGAGGCTTGTACAATTTCTCCACCATTTTCCTATAATCTACAGAAAACACAGGAAACATGAGTGAGCCAACTTTCACCACATGAACTTAGAGAGAAGGAAAAAAAAACTAGTGTTACAATGGAATCTCACCTTCTTGATTGCTCCACAATTGGGCTGCTTGGGTGTTTAAAGGTGAGCTTGTATTTGGTTCTACAAGTAAATGGCGGCAAAGGGTCATTCGCAAAATCCATTTTCCATTCCCAAAATTAGAAGCATTTAGATTGAAATAAAACCATCAAGTCAGGAAGTATACCTCCAAGCAGACTCTGGATGGATAGAAGTATTGTTCTCACATCATATGCTGATGACCATTTATCCTGCAAAAGATGAAACATTACTCACTTTCTGGTTGTTTTCATCAGAGAAGTTATGGTTTCAATGTCGAAGACTTGGCCATAGCTCAATTACCTGAAGTATGTCCAAGCAAATATTGCCATAAATGTCGACATTTGGGTGAAAGCAGCCAGTCTCGAACTTCACCTTTGGTGGCTTAAAAGGGTAATCGTTGGGGAATGAAAAGGATAGTCTATACTCTGTTCCCTCAAACACTGTGTCTTTGCTTCCGGTTATTGTCCCTTTCCAGCAGAAAATGTTGTCCTCCTCCGGAAAGGCTGAAATCCCAGAGTCTCCGCTCATCTGCAATTTCAAAACCATGAGTTTATTCGTCTATCAGCAAATACTTCAATTTAACAGTCGGAACATAACACATGACACAGAACAATCCTTCAATTCAAGTCTTACCATTAGAGCCATTAACTCAGACTGCAACCTGTTGTCAGAAAAAACACAACAGAAATGGAAGGAAGATCGTTAGTTATATATGTTCTTCACTAATTTCTTGATATAACACACGCAACACGAGGTATATCGTTCAACATAGATCCATGTGGCCATGGTGCAAAAGTTAGGGACAGAACCTTAGCGGACACTCAAATTACCCTTAAATTCCTAAAAAGATCATTGCGAAAGACCACAGAACAGTCCTCAAAATCAGTTCAAACTAAATCCTGAACCCTAGAGAACACTCTCATCCGGCGTAAAGTTCAATAATGACCGAATATCACAAAACAGCGGAGGCGATTGCACACGCACAGAACCGCGATCGATCCGTAGTCTCGTACATATCAAATCAAATACGAAAGATCGGAAATATATATACCTTTTGAGAACGGACTGAGAGTCCGCGGCTTTGGCAGGCGGTAAGGATTGCTTGGCTGGAGAAACAACAGGGTTAGACGGCGTCGTGTTATCAGTGTATCGATTAATGGCCGCCATTCTCTCTGATCCAAATTACAGAAGACACGAGGAATTCGCGAATAATCCAAGGAATTTCTCCACCAACGAAGTATCGATTAGACGTTGGTAGGGAGAGAAGGTAGACTGTAGGGCTTAAATCGAAGGAGAGAGACGAAGAATTAGGGCTTTGATTTGAAGGGTAAATATTCAAAAATTTTAGTGAACGTTGTGGAGACGGCGAAGATTTCAATTAGTTCGCTTTTGAATTTCCAACGGCTACCTTAGGTCTCTGCTTTAATGCTACCTTTATTCAACCACAATTTTCCTTTTTTCTTTTTTTCCTTAAATGAATAAACAATGATAATAAATATTAAAGTTAATTTGGTCCTGTAAATTAAAAAAATATATATTATTTATTCTCTAATTTTAAATTTTAGATTTAATTTCTATGATTTTAATAAAATATTCATCGACAATAACACTTATTTGAAATTTTGAATAATTCTATAAACATATTGATAATTTCAAATTTGAATGATTCTAAACAGATCATATAAATTACAACTTCAAAGGACTCTCTTGACCTTTCATAAGACATTTAAAAAATTTACAACTTTTTTACTGGACTATAATTAGTCAGTAATTTAAAAATAAATAAAAAAAAATAAATTTAAAATACAATAATGAAACACCACAGTGATTCATGAGTTATTACTTGAATCATTGAAGTTTTAGTGATGACTTCAATCATAATGCATATAAACATCGCGGGTGGAAGTGATATATTATAATTGTGATTACAATATATTAAATAAACATACCGAGTCATGGATAACAATTTGAGATCTAACGAGCAAACATGTATATTCAAGTATGCACCTACCCTGAATTCTGTCCTAGTAACGATAACTAAGGCTAGTGACATCTCGACTTGTTGTCCTATCTCCAAACTTACACGAACATGAAACCATATGATAATATAAAATTGAGTATAATTAAGTGCACCATTTTCTATCTATAATTTATGATTAAACATTGCATTATTTTATATTTTATTTTAAAAAAAATATTTCTATATATATAATTTTCCCTAAATCTAGTTAATGAACTTGAATAATTTATAAAAATTTTAAAATGTCCTATAAATATTTGAATTTGTAATTTTGTATTTAATAAATCTGAATCTACTAAAATTCAAATATTTAAATTTGATAGAAAACTATAAATACTAAATTCAAATATTTAAAAGTAGGCACACAAAAAAGATATTTTCAGTTTTTTAAAAACAGAATATATGGCCCATTAGCCCATTGGCCCATTGGCCCATTAGCCCATTAGCTTATTAGCCCATGGGTCGTTCAACTATGTTTGCATTTGGCGGCCCAATATATATATATATATATTTTATTATTATATTTTAATTAATGAATTTTTTTAATGTTCCCCTCTGCTTCGAACAAGATTGTTATAGAATCTGTATTACTGCTAAATTGCGAACCCCGGAATATTCGTAATTATAGGAAATAATTTTTTTAATTTTTAAAAAATATTATTAAAATATTATCGTAAAATAGTTACTGTACAGCTCGATTTTACCACACGCGTAAATTGAAACACTGAACAAATGCATCATAAAATTGTGATCTTTTTATATGTTTGTTGGGTAAAAAAAATCTAAAAAGTAGATCTTTTATTTCTATTTTTATATATAAAGTAAATTTAATTTTTTGTTATAATAAAATTACTCCGATTCAAAAGATGAAAAAAAAATAAAATTAAATTCACATGCAACCCACAATTATTAATAAATAAATAAGCAGAGTAAATTGTTTAAAAGAGAATTATTTAGAAATTATTGATTATTTGGCGAAAATAATTACGGAAATCGAGAGCCATCAATTAAACACAAAAGAAAAAAAAAAAGAAAAAAGAGAATAAAATAAAATAAAATAAAATAAAATAAAAAAAATAAAATAAAAAAAATAAATAAATAACCCCGAAGGCCATCCCATGATATAACCCTCAATTATCTCCGAATTCCGAATTCCGAATGCCACCCTTTTTCACAAACACATAACTCTCTGGAAACAATTCTCCTTAAATCAACCACAAAAGAGGAAAAAGAAAAGAAAAAAAAGAACAAAAAAAAAAAAAAGGAAAAAAGGAAAAACGAGAGGAAGGTTAAACGGAATAGAATTTCACTCTTCCTCATCGTCTTCTTCCTCCTAAATCTGCTGTTAACTTCGCCAACTGGCGCATCTTAGCTGCCGCCGCCGCCGCCGTTGTCGTCGACGACCTTTTTAATTTCCTCGATTTTTCCCTCCCAGACCCGATAACCCGAACCGATTTTATTCCTAATTGTTCTTCTTGCCGCCGATTCAGTTCCGGCGACTCACAATTGGCGCTGTCCATAGGTATAGGATAACTGTTAGCCCGCGCGTTATTTCCCTTTTGATTAGTCAAACTTCATTTTCTGTTCTGCTTGCCTTCTGAAGGTGCGAGACTTGCTTTTGTTTTCGATCATCTTTTTTTACTCTGACTCTCGATCTTTCATTCCGTCTTATTTTCGGAACGTTTTTTTAGGTTTCTGATTGTGAATTGGGAGTTCTTTGAATGTTAGGGTTTCTTTTTGGAGGTTTCGAGAGGTTTTAGCCTTCAAAATATTTGATTTCCGGAATTAGCTTGTTGATCTGAAGATTGCCGTTTGCAATATGTTTTTAGCATTTGTTTTCCGCGTTCTTTGAATTTATCTCCTCTCCTGATTTACTCGCGTTTGAAATTCGATGAAATTTGTTTCTTTCTGATCGATGAATGAATGCTTAGTCTCGGGCTTGTTTGAACACTCACTTGGGCATCGCATGAACCTTCGGCTTGGATTTTGCATAAAATAAGTAACTACGAATAGGAGCTGATTCTTACTAAACCGTGCTGTTCAATTCCTTACATTTGCTGAGTTCACCCTTCGTTTGAAATAATTGCTGTAGTTCACCTGTAACTGTTTTCTACAGCACACAAAAGAAACAATGTGTTCAATGTATGAAGTAAGTTAATAAGTCATCCAATGTGTTTTGAGAGTTTGAACTTGGAAGCTGCAATGAAGTTTTTTTTTTTTTCTTTTGGAGGTTCATGCTCCCTTTGTCTTCCTGATACGCGCCATATTTTTATGACTTTTAATACCTATCCTTTTCTATGGCAAAGCGTAGTCGTTCCTGTTCTTCCCTTCTTGTTTAACCGTTTTCTTATTTCAGGTTACAAATCTTCTTTTTCACCATCACTAAGTTGGGGTGTTTTATTCCATGTAGAAGAATGGCCTTTTTTAGGAATCATTCAAACGAACCAGTTTCTCATGGTGTCTTGGAAGATAAAGGCCAAGGACAAGTTAGCGATAGAACCCACTCCTCTGCGGGAAATGATGAGGAAGACATGATTACAGAAAAAGACTTTAATATCAACATAGGCGCAACTTATCATAATGGAGGTCAGGTAGATGATTCCAGTAGGTTTCAAAATGAGTCAGCTGCAGATGATGGTATTGCTATGAGAGTGTCAAACTTTCAAAATTCTGGAAGAAGAACGGCAGTGGGTAGAAGGTGGGGTTCAACATTTTGGAAGGACTGTCAACCTATGATTCATGGAGGTTCTGATTCTGCACAGGAGTCTAAGAGTGAGTCTGACGTTAAAACCGGAGAAGGATCAGAAGATAATATATCCAATGAAAAGGATGGCGTGTCAGAATTTGAAGATGGCGGCCAACCAAAAGAGGTTAAAGGTCAAAGAAGGTATAATGATGTCCCTGCAGAAGGTGGGATGTTGTCGGATGAATATTACGAGCAGGATGTAGATGAGCAGAGCGATTCCATGCCATACGGAGGGTTTAATCACTCAGTGAAGTCAAATAGGTCACAGTTGCAGTCTGTTAATGCCAACAACAATTACATGCGAGGAAATTCTAGAGTTGGGAATAATGAAGATGAAGATGACGGAGATGATGGAGAACATAACGATGATGCTGATTATGAAGAGGATGATGAAGATGGTATCTTTCTCTGTAGTATTATTTTCCTTCAAGTTGGCTGTGGATTAATATTACTGTCTTTCTGTTTGCAGATTATTTTATTGATCTTTTTTTATTTTAATGTTTAAACTGTTTACCATGCTTCTTTTATTTTAATTGGTTGGCATTTGGTGATCTTTGTTCCAACTCTACAATGTATCAGTATTTGACTTCATCCGATATGGTTCACTACCACATTGGCTAAATTTTATATCTGTGGGTGTTTGCAGAAGATGACCCTGATGATGTGGACTTTGAACCTGATTATGGCGTCTCAAGTGGTCCTTCAATTAAAAAGGTTAGGTTTTTTCATACATTTATATATTTGTTCAATAATTTTCATTTGCCGGATTTCATGATGCGGCAAATAAAACTTTCCTTCATTTTCATCAAATCACATTTTCCATTTCCCTCTCTCTTTTCTTTCACCTTCTCTTTTATTAATTTTGTTTGCATTATGTTGAAAAAAATGTACGAAGTACACGAGGCACAGGCACATCAGAGAATAAAGTAAAATGAAAAATTCAAGCTAATATCTGAAAGATTCTCCCTTCCACATTCTGCCGGCAGCAATTTTCTATTTAGAACTTCTCCTATATAACCAATATCTAGTCTGATTTCTTCCATCTTTTCTATTTATTTATCAGTATTCCATTGCCTCTCCCCCATCATTGGTGCTTCTAGAATGAATTTCATTTCTTGTGTTTTTTTCCTTCATTCCCATGACCATCTTTACCTTACTGGTCTTACTATGTTCTTCTCTGAATGGGATTTTTTCTTCAGCCCCATCATGGTTGTATACAGTGTGTGTATATATATCTATAGAAATATAACTTTATTCTCCACATATATATTTTTTTCGTTATGCTGTTCATATATGGGGGTTCTTGTACAATGCTCTCTAATTCTAGTGTTCTATTGATAGCAGGATAAAGACTGGGATGGTGGTGAAGATTATGAGGAAGATGATGGGAGTGATGATGATTTGGAGATTTCTGATGATGATAGACCCAATTATGGAAAGAAAGGTCGGGGAAAGCAACGCGGTAAAGGAGGACGCAATGTAAAATCTACCAGTGAACGCAAGTCGTACCAATTATCTATTCGACAAAGAAAAGGAAAATCCTCGTACGAAGAGGATGAATCTTCAAC